GGCCGGGGAGGAAGGGGTGGAGCGGGCCCACCCCTTTCCCCCGGGGGGGGTCGCGGGGGTTCCCTAACTTGGTGAACAGGGGGGTTTGGGGGGGGGGGGGGGGGGTTGTGGCGGCTGCTGTGTCGTGGGACTGTTGCCGCAATGACCCCGGTTCGTGTGATGCACTATTATAGTCGCCTGTCGAGAACACCACTGGATAAACTGAAGGGTACCAAATTACATTCCCATGGGTAGTTACCGCGTTACACATGGTATTTATCGCGTTCCATCAAGGGTACCACCACGACACCCTCACCGTCTACTACTTGTATTTATTATACAGTACAGTAGTACCCAGGGCAACCGACCGTCTCCCGTGATGGCCTGCTGATCTGTACGAAAAATCTGTTTTGTCTCTCCATCTCATTGCTTCCGCAATCTCACCACTATTTGTCTGCGCCCTCTCCTCTCCCAGATGCGGTGCATCCACATGCTGTGGGCGCCTCCCACCAGGCAAAGGCTTCTCAGCCACCCCGTCGCTAGGTGAGACTACGCCGGGTAGATGTTTGAAAGCATGCACATGGCATGTTGCCGTTTGTTGGTTTCTAGAAAGGTCACCCCTTGTTTGGAGTGGCTGGGTTGAGACCACGGAACCACGGAAAGCGTCCGCTTCAGTTGGAACAGCGCGGGTATTTGAAGGTATACTGAGCGGAGACCGGAACGATGTTATATGTGAAGCCAACAAGATGCAACAACCACAGCATCGACAAGCAGCACGTCGCCAAGAAGTCTACTCGGTTGTTTCTGGCTGGCTTCCGTCTGGCTGGCTACGTTTTTCAGCCGTGGGTGCGCATCGCGCAAAGGGATGGCTATTTAGTAGTCGCTTTAGAGGGGGGGTTGTTGTCGTTGTTGATATTGTTGCCTTGACGTCGAAGACCTGCCGGCCTCTTCGTATACTACACTGTGTTGATACACAGCCGCAGTGCTTGTGTTCAAAAGTGGTTGGATCCAGGCGCCAGGACGGCAGGACACTGCTGGCCCAGCTGTCATGGAGCCTAAACGCGAACAGGAATCCTCATGTAAGCATCATCAAGTCTACAAGGACAAATATTCGCATGGACATGTACGAATATTGGTTTGGGTGGCCTGCTGTTGCTGGTCGCGTTTTTGTTTACTGCTTTCCTCGCCAGGGCTACGCTGGCGATCATCCCCTCTGTCGAGAGCGAGGCCAACCGACGGAGAAACAAGTCTGGCGACTACGAGGTGTCCCCTCAGGCAAGTTGTCGCCTACCTACAAAATAACGTACACATTCCGTTGCAGACTGACTGATTGAGGTACATTAGTTGTGGAGATTTTTCCGCGTAGACGTCCGAGGAAGCACAGGCAGAGCATCAATCCTGCGTGTGTGTGTTTTTTTTTTTTTTTTTTTCCGGCGAAAGTTGTTGACGAGTAGTTTGAGCCTAAGCGTCCCCACAATTTTTGTCGAGTCTCTTTTGGCTGCCCCAGCCTGTGCGTATTTACGTCAATGAAGGAGCTGTTCTCTGTTATATCTCAGATACAATGTTTTCTGCGCCCTGCTCAAAGCAAGGTTTGTATTCCCTTTTTTTTCCGTTTGCGGATGAGAGAAACCGTCTCCCGCTCTCTCCCCTCCCCTCCCCTCCCCTCAAGTTTTCTGTCGTCGTCGCTGTCCCTCCCTTGCCTAACCCTTTCTCTCTCCTTCTGTTTCGGCGATGCAATGGGTGGTTTCATGAACATTTGCGAATGGGCGGACGCCGAACCACGCCTCCCCCCCCCCCCTTTTTTTTGTGGGCTATCATGCGGGGTTAATCGTGTCCTTCTTGTTGCTTCTCCACGCTACGTGATTGGATCTGGCTCGACTGGCTGGTTATCGGGAGCGCAGGACCTTCGAAAGCTACCGCTCGTGGCGCAGTGGTGCAGAATGCTTCACGACGTGAGTCATGCATAGTGTAGAGGTCGTTTGTAGTCGTTTGTGCACACCTTACGGCCGTATGTGCAAGGAGAAGCTCGCGCGATGCCTACGGTACGCTGACCTGTTTCTAATCCCCCGATGACGCGGCAAGTTCCGAAGGCAGGAGCGCACCCCTTGCTGGGGTCGCTTTTTTTTTTTTTTTTTGTGGAACTCGTTTTTTTTTTGTAAGGTATTCTCGGCTACCGTGGTGTGCGAGAGGGTGTTTGACTCCACCGGCTGGCCTCTGAATATCAATGTTGGTTTGTTCGGGTGTCATATCCATCCATGTTGATGTCGTTCAGTGACACATCCATGTTGATGTCGTTCAGTGTCATATCGATGTTGATATCGTTCAGTGGCACATCCATGTTGATATCGTTCAGTGACACATGTCAATGTTCAAATCGTGCAGTGACATATCGATGTTCATATTGTCCAGTTGCATATCAATGTTCAAATCGTGCAGTGACATATCGATATTCATATCGTCCAGTTGCATATCAATGTTAAAATCGTTCATTGACATATCGATATTCATATCGTCCAGTTACATATGGTATCAATGTTCATGTCTTTCAGTGACACATCAATGTTCATATCGTTCAGTGACACGTTGTTCGCTCTTGACGGGTGTGGGCCCTCAACAACCAGAAGGAAGCAGTAGCCCTAAAACACAAGCACGAGAAATGGTACCAGTAGATAGGGTGGGGAGGAGTGGCCATCATTGAGGGCTCGCGAATCGGTGCGGTCGTCTCTCGGAAGTGACGGCCGGCCTACGGCGAGGCAGGCGACAGGTGATGATAAACGATGAACCCTTGCCTTGGAAGATGATGCGTTCTTCTTGCTAGAAAACGATCTGATCTCATTCAGTGACACATCGTCCACTCTTGGCGGGTGTGGGGCCTCGATGACGATTGTTTATCTCTTCCACAGAAGACGACAACAACAACAACAACAACAACAACAACAACAACAACAGATAAGAGCTCGGGATAGAGCAGCAATGAATGCCATCGTTGGGTGTTTTTTGAAGAGACACGTGAATTAAGCATCAATTATTTTTTTGGGTTGTAAATGCCAAGTCATGGTGTTGTATGGTGACGTTTTTTTTACTGTTTTTCTTTTGGTGTCGCAGCTCCGGACGGTGTGCTACAACCTCCTCGGGCTGTCGTGCAGACAGGGGGCTCTGTACCTGGCCGTCCCCGCCGACAAGGTGCAGGACGTGGTGGTCAACGGCATCTTCGCCGGCTTCGAGTTCATCGAGAACAGGTGCGTTGTTGTTGCTGCTACTGCTGCTGGTGTTGTTGCTACTGCTTCTGCTGTTGGTGGTGGTGTTGCTGCTGCTGGTGGCTATGGTATTGTGTTGTTGGTGTTGATGTTGTTTCTGCTGATGTGGTTGGTGGTGGTGTGTGGTTGGTGCTGCTGTAGGTTTTGCTGTGGGTTTTACCCTCCACTCTCCCTTCACAGTCCCCCCAACATAATTCATATCACGATTGCCTTGATCTTGCAGCTGAACTCTTCCCTCGCCGTGCCCCCGCCCTCCAGGCACCTACAAGGGTTCTGCTCCCGCTTTGTCGAGAAGTACGTGGTCTGTTGCCCTCCCTCTCTGGTGCGGTCTCACGTTGAACCCGTGATGGCGATGTTGGCCAGCAACATCATGCCTAGACTCAGCGTAAGTCATAGTCGGCACTAGCGGAACATTTCGAAAACACCCCTGTGACGGGGGGCGGGGGAGGCTTACCCCTACTGGTTGGTTTTTCTGTCTGAAGAGAAGGGCTTAGGGGGAAAGTACGCCACCCGTGTCGGCCGTATGGTTGGCGTGCACCCGTAGTTTCATGTTGTTTTCGTTGATTTAATATGATAATATTATAGTGGTGGTGATAGTGATGACATTGTGCCACATTTTCTACTCTGCTGGGATGTAGGCACATGTCAAAAAATGGGACGGACTACTTCTTTCATTTGTGTACTTCTGTGTGGACCTTGTACTTGAAAAACGCCTCCGAACAGTCGTGGTGCTTTGCCATTGGCTGTCATTCGCGCAACGTCTTCACGCAACCTGTACATGGGGGTCCTGTACATGTGTGCGGTCGCACACCATGGAACACTCTTGCCACCAATGACTATGTTGCGGACGGACGGACGTACCAAGGTTTAACTTCCATCCGCGTGGCCCCTCTAGTATGCATACTAAGTACGTGCCAACCGTACCATACCGTAACCCAACCCCTAATGGCGTCTGTGGTGTGTGCAGGCTGCCTGGTCTCCTCAAAGCGCAGGCGCACAAACGTTGCGGGCGAGAGACCCCGAGAAGTTCCAAGTGTACGCTGACGGAGGGACGATGCTGACAGAGGAGGTATGTACCATGTCGTCGTCACATTGGAACCCTTGTGGTTCCGTGCTCACAGGCCATGCACAGAACGCGCCGCCGCTTTTTCTAGGGGGTGTGTCTATGCCTATCCCCACGGCGACTATATTGGTGTTAGTTTAAGGCTTCTACTATTTATAGGCTGAGCGCCTGTTCTTATGGGCCAAGTTCTTAGATTTCGGATAATATATTTTGAGGCTCCAGCTCTTAACTTGTCATTTTTGTTAAGTAGTGGCGCATTCTGTACTGTACTGTACCCACAAAGCGTTCGAAAAAATGTGTTGTGGACTTGGATACGCGTGAATTGCTGTGTTGGTGGTGCGGTGCGATCGTGGTGTTGGGCGCCTGATTGTTGGCAAGGTATTAGCAGGTCGGCATCTCATACTGAAGGTTGAAGGGGGGGGAGTGCGTACTCATGTTTTGCATGCCGAGGTGTTAAGACCATTGACGATTGGTGGGAAGGGGGGCTGTCGGCTCAGGGTTACTATTGTACGGATGGCCCGATAGAGACGGGTGTAGCGGTGCAACGTTGGTCGGTGTGGGCGGTGCGAACTTTGCGCTCTTCGCCATCCTCGTTCTCACTCCCGTGTGTCTATCTCCTCTCGTACTCCCTCTCTCTCGCCCTCTCCTCCCCACCCACAATACGCTCGATCGTGGTTTGACCTCCCTCGTCCGATGAAAAATGCCGACGCGAAACAGGACTTGGACAAGGATGAGCTTGAAGAACTCAAGATCAAGCACCGGCTGCACCTCACGAAGGGCCTGGCTGACATCGTGCACGTGAGGGTCGTCATCTTCCAACAACCATGTCGTATTTAGTCGTTGTACCCGTGTGCTTTAGTCGTACGACAGCATGTAGTACGCGCATAGGACCACCACCGCCACCACCACTACCAGCCCCTTGTGAGAAACGCCTCTTTGCCTTTCTAAGTCTCTCAAGGGTTGTCGGTCGCCCCTGTGGTCTGTCTGGTAGCTGGTTGTAGGTTGGGTCCTCTTTCTCTGGAGGGTTTTGTTTGCCTGCGTGTATCACACAACTTGCTGCCAAGAACGAGCAATTTCGTGCACACTGCTACTTGACTGTCGACGAGGGAAAGGGACAGCTGAACTCTTCTCGCAATACATGTAGTAACAAGGGGAGTATCCGCACGAAAACGGTGGGGCTTTTAGAACAGCACAGTAAGCCCATGAAGTTCCTTGTGTAAGCCCGGGTGATGCGTACGCTAGAACTGTGTACACCGAAATGTGTTGTAGACTGGCGCCAGAATAGTTGGGACGAAACACGCAAGGGTTGGCGGCTGTCTCTCATCAGTGCTTGAGTATCACCACCTGCCACGTTCCCACCGTTGAACAATATATATTTTTTGTTTTTGTCGTTCTTCCTGCTTCATCGTTTTCTCCTCCACCCGGCACCCCCTAGTCTAAAACAGTTTGGGAAGCCTTGTGACCCATGCTCCCCCCCCCCCCCCCCCCATAGTAGGAACATGCTGCGTCCTCTCGAGGACGCGTGGTCAATGGTCTATCTAAGGCATGCAAAACATTAAAGAGTACGACCCTCCCATCACCTTCGCGCTGTCACTGAAAGGCGTGCCTGGCGCTGAGAGGAGAGCTGAACTTGCCTCCCAGCGCTCTCGACAAGGGCGGAGCAGGGGGGGGCGCGGGTGATACTCAGAACGGCGGCAGGGGTAGAGGAGGGGGGCGGGGGCACCCTAGAGGGCAGCCTTATTCGGCGAGAGGAGGGAGAGGAGGCAGGGGGGGCGGCAACCTGTCCAAGAAGGCTGCACAGGTACACAAGAGAGGGAAATTCAAGCTTGAAACGAATCGGTCGGGTGTCGTTGCTGTCTGCTGTATTGCCGTTTTTGTTTCGTCATGTGTGGGGGACTACGGGAGCGCCGCGACTGCTTTGCTGCATTGTCATTTTTATTTTGTCATTTGTGGGGGATTACGAGAGCGCCACGCTCACGGCGGTGAAACCAATGAGGCCGTATCGTGTGCCATACGCATCAGCTTAAGGACCCTCGTCGTTGCTGGGGTGTCGCCGGTGCGTGGAGTCTTATTTGGGATGTTTTTTGGCGACGCGCCAGCAACGTCATCATGGTCATCGCCGGAACGTTGATGTGCGGTGTGTGCTATGTTTGTCTTTGTTTGCTGTTGCGTGATCTATTGAGTGACTGACCACCAATATGACCACCACCGTTATTACATATCATTAACAACGAACCGCGATGTTCCCGCCGGTGACAAACAAACAAGCAGGCGGAGAAGGTGCTGGACGGGAAGCGAAAGAGACGTCGAGCCTTGCTGGACGTGTTCGTGAGAGGGCAAGGGAGCATCCCGCCGAGCCTGGTCATGTTCACGGTCGGTCTCATCCGACACTGGGGGGACGCGTACTCTTGCCGAAAGGCCCTGGCAATCGCGCACGTGAGGTTACGCAGCAGTTGTTGCTGGTGTCTTGTACTACGCGTACATGTATGTGGCCTTGGCCATGTTTTGTTCCTGTTATGTACAGGGAAATGTGGTAGCATTGGTACGAAAACTGCTGTTGTACCAACAGGTGTGTCGCATATCTTGCAACCTCATCCCGAAGTGTCAATTTTCTTGCACCATTGATGTAGTGGCTGGTTTTAACCCCTGTCTTGCTTCGTATTGTTGGACCCTTTTGGATCAACACAGACCCTGCGCGTTCCCTTGGCGCCTGTCTGATCCAACCTCTATTGAGCACCACGTCTTTTGGCTTGTTGTCAACCTCCCGCAGTGCATACTGTTGGAGTACGACCTTCGTTCGGACGTGATGAAGCAGCGTCTGTCGAGAGATCTCTTCAGCGGCGTGGTGGACGCCCTTGTCGCGGGGGCTCCGCAGTTGCAAGGCATGGAGTGGGAAGCCGTTACTCTGGTGAGCGGGTGTCGGTTCTCGGCTGGAACCCCTTGGGGGAGAATGAACGTGTAGGGTTCTGGTTACATGGGTCGGCCCGTGACACAGCACTGCTCACGGCGTTGGGTCCACCCTGTTGCGGACGTAGGTACCAGTAGGAGGTTTTTATGGTCTTCTGGTCAGCTCAAGACAACCGTAGCAGCAGCGGCAGCTGTGGTGAAACACTTGTCTGTCATCATGTCGTCGGCTGAGTCTTCGTTGTTGTTGTTGCTCTTGTCAGGTGAAAACACTCTACGTGTCGTTCGGCCTGAGCGGTGCGAGAAACAGGACTAGAGGGTCAACGTCCGACGATAGCCTCAGAAAGGTAAGTCTTGGAACAGATAAAAGCGCGAAGTACAAATTCTGCAAGTTTCCTTCTGAACTTCACACTAATGTTGAATACAATATATATATAGCCTTTGGCACGAGCAAGCGTGACGTCACCAGCGAATTCATCCGGAATGGCGGGAGGCCATTGTGGCGATACCTAGAGACACACATAGCCACTGCCTGCCTTCTCGGATGAGCACTGTATGAAAAGCTCACGTTCTGATGCTGGATGCCTACCAGCGCAATCAACCACACCACTTGCACTCTGTGCGTTTCGTCCCAACCTCACTTGTCAAGATGCTAACCGCTCCCAATTGTTTTCTCCTCGACACCACCCGCTGTATAATGTACAAGAAGCCCTGAGAGCGCAAGGGTGTTACCTGCAAAGAGATTAGGATGGCGGACGCAAACTCGAGCCCCTCCCCGACCTCAACAACCATTGCAACCGTTGGACTTCCTCCTTTCTGACTTGCCGATGTACCTTGCATTCATGGCGTATCCTCCCCCCGGACTCCGTTGCCGGTGTACCTTTGTCCTTCTCCTGTGTTGTGGGGGTCTCTCCGTTGCTACAGTGGCGGCTACGGTTTAAGAGAGACTATTTAAGAGAAAGCACCGATTTAAGAGAGTCAAACTGCCTTGTCACGACCATGATAAGTACACGCATTTCACAGTACGGTGTAATAGAAAATCGGATTTAAGAGAGAAATACTGGCTTGTCCCAACCCTCTCATAACCCGTAGCCGCCACTGCTGTGCCGGGAACCTTACATGGTTTTGTGTTGTCTTGTTTAACGCGAGCAGAAGCTGCAGTCCCTGGCCGGGGTGTTGGAGCAAGACGTGTCTACCATGGACGCCAAGCTCAGGAGCGAGAGCAGCGACACCCGCACGCAGAAGGAGGCCGTGAGGGATGTCCTCAGGAGGGCTACGCTGGTCGCGGTATGTCTTGGTTGTATGAAAGTCAACGGTTGTTGCCGTCGTCGATGGAGTTGGTATTGTAGTGTTGCTTTTGTTTCTTGGTCGATGCGATGTGGCCTGCCGTGCGGTATCGGTACCGTACTGCTGCTTTATCAGCTGCTTGCCAACGGTAACGGTCATGATTGTTTTGCTGGTTGAAAAAAAAATGTCTTTGGGGAGGGAGAGGGAGGGGCCTACTCTGGTCTGGCCAGGGGGCAGGCTTGTCAAAACACATGCATTGCTGTGCAAGAATTTGCAGCAAGGGAGATTTGCAATTGGAGATGTGTGTATGCTTCTATGGTACAGGGGCTTAGGTTCACGTTCATGTATGCTATGGAGGGGTATCGGATTCAGTCACGGACGCAGTTGACTCACCCTGGGTGATACCTTTTCTTGTTGCAGCGAGCCGCCCAAATTTGTTTTGCTTGGGGTTTCTGCATTTTATCATCCTACACGCTTGCAGAGCTGGGTTTCCGAAGAGCTTGTCCAAACCCCGGCAAGAGCAATGTTACCGCTCTATCTAAAGTGTTTTGAACATGCTGCATTGCTTGAATTGATCTTCCGGCCGCCCTTATGTACACCCCTACCTAGTACACCAGCTTGGGCGTGCTGTGGCAAGACAGAACCTTTATCGTTTTGAATTTTTCAAGTATTATCCAGAGAGCAGGAAGAGTAGACAGCGCTGCTAAGTGTACCTCATTGGTACCATCTACATCTGCATCACGCTTAAATCTAGCTCGGTGTCATGTCTCCCACGCAAGCAGCCCCGCTGACCCTCTGCCGCGTGTGTCCTGCCGGGTTCCGTGCACCTCGCGCATTTTTTGCCTGAAACCGCGACATGACCAACGCTTTCGACGGCAATAACAGCAAAACTCTGCTGGAAGGGGTGGGGGGAAGGGCAGCAACGCCAGCGCCACGTTCTGGAAGGACAACAAGGGCAGGTCGGGCGGTGCCAAGGGTCAACCGAACAAGAGCTCTAACAGGTACTGTACTGCACCCCCTGCCGAATTTTTGTAGGTTTAGGGTTTGGTGACACTCACCAGGCAAGCGGAATCAGTTGCTTGGGCAAATACAACGACTCTCAATGTATGCATAGGTTGTTGCTGTTGCCGCTTGCAACCCGATATGGTGCGTTGAGTTGACATGTCACTGCTTGGTACCACCACCCACTAGAGTAGTGCTACACCGTCAATCGATATTCCGTATTCTTTCATTCCATATTCGTATCGTAGTCCATATTCTGCACTCTCCGAAGTCGCCATTTCGAGGACCCACCGTTGACAGAAGCGCCTTTTTTTTTTCTTCTTGTACGCGTATTGGTTGAAGGTTTCGTTTTGATCTGGCGTTGTCTTCCTTTTTTTGTGTTCAGACTGACATCTCTTAAAAAAAGGAACAAGCAACGCCGGGGTTTCACTATTTAGGATGTTTTTTATGCATTAATAGAACGCCGTTGTCTACGTGTTTTTTCTCTACGCCTATGATGCCGTTACGAAGATCGTGGTGTCGAAACGTGACAATAAAGCTTCGGTGACGTCACCGCTGGGTTCTCGTGGTCGTTGTCCCCCTCCCGTTGTTTTTGCAGGAACAGGAACAAGAAGAACGGCAACAACGACCAAGACAACGACAACCCGTCCTCGGACATTCTGTGGCAACGCCGATGAGGGTGGGGCGGATGATGGTGACGAACGACGACGTTGTTGTGATGGTGGCATGGTAATTCTTGTCGGTTAATGGGCGCAGATTTGGTTATGTCTCTGTGGTGTTTGCTGAGAGGGTCTCAATTTCTTGGTGGGCCCATGATTGGATGCCGGTGGGCGCGAGGTGTAGCATCTGCGCGAAGTGTAGCTACTGCTGTGTTTGCCTCCAAAAACAACTTGCAGCTTGCGGCTTGCGGAATTCCTGTCCTTACGCCACTTTTCTCTGAGCGTCCAGAAGACTGAGAGTGCGTGCTTTTTGATTCAGATTATTGGTTAGGTGAGGCAGCTATGAAGCTTGCACGCATGGAGGTCGTGGTCAATGTCACAAGCTCTACACATCCTGTGCCTCCAGCCATGCTAGGCATTGATTGTGGAGAGAAAGTGGGATGCATACAACGTGGAATTTCACTGGGGGGATCTTGCATGGCAAAGTGCATTGGGAAGAGGCATCCGTTTATTGACGCTGGGAAAAAACAAGACAAGAACGGATTGGAGGGAGACGTGTTATCTAAGAGGTTACTTTGTCGACACCGTATATCAGGGCTTGGAGAACGACAACGGTTGGTGAACGTACGAATTGTTCCATGGGAAAAGGTGGTTTTAGCACGTACCGTGTGTGCCTGGTGCGAATGGAACGCTCCCGCTTCCTTCGATGGAACAGCGTGGGACAACGACCGGGAGACTTGACCGAAGACGAACGGTGTTTCGTCCAATAAGATTTTCAGAAACCGATAGCTGCAGGTTGGCTGAGTGCGCTCGGTCGGGTTTCATCACCAACCAATCATCGTCGTCGCGAATTAGGAGGCTAAGGGTTGCATGGTTATGTAGAAGTGCTGTAACCATTGTTGTTGCACATACAAGGGTAGGACCAAGATACGATCCGAACGGAGGATCTTACTGATGGTTGATCAGCAAGAGACCCGAGTGTGGATGCAAATAAAAACGGGGCGTTCGCAATTCCAAAAGGGAGACGTTTAAAAACCCATTTTCCTTTTTGAGTTACAAAGGCGGTCTTCTCTTGCTCCGCTGCTGCAACGGGTATCTGGTGGTACGCGCTCTGCACGTCACACATAGTGATAAACTTTGCTCCACCTACTGTATCAATGTGGGCATTAATATCGGGCATAGGCCACGACTTTCGGATTAAACTCTTATTAATGGTACCGCGACAATCCACACAGAATCGAGGGGTTCCGTCGGCCTTTGCTACAATAGTAACCGCCGATCCCCAACGAGGGAAGCCTGTGTCCTCATTCGTCCAAAGCCTCTAGAAACGCCAAAATACATCCTTAGCAAAGATGAATTTGTAGCGCATAAAGGGGGGGGTGATGTGGATGACAGGTGTAGAAGTGCTGTAACCATTGTTGTTGCACATACAATACAAGGGTAGGACCAAGATACGATCCGAACGGAGGATCTTACTGATGGTTGATCAGCAAGAGATCCGACTGTGGATGCGTCCCTCTTGGCGCCACTTGTGGAGCTTGGGAATCCGAGACCCTCGGGCTTGGTCTCCCTCGCCCCTTCGGCGGCGCACTCTCTCTTGTCTCTCTCTCCTGAGACCCTCTCCTCTCTAAATCTCGACGAAGAGAACTGCCAGCCCTTGGTAGTGGGAAAAGACTACTGCGACCTGGGCCTCCCCCCAACGAGGGAAGCCTGTGTCCCCAAGTACAAACATAGAAATGTATGTACGTCTAAATACTTGCATGGGCAGAGATCCGCCACTCACTGTTGTACGTACTGTAGTACTGCTGTCCACCAGGGTTTGCTTTTCAAGCTGCCGACTGCCGAAGGGTGCATAGGTTCCGAGCTTGACGGTCGGTTCTGACTGCTGAGCACTGAGCAGCCGGGGAGCAGACATGAGGAGAGACGACGTACCCCGACCAGTTCTCCTCTACCCCCACTGTCGCTTTCTTTAGTCTCAATACTCGTAGACTATGCAATGCTACATCAGCAGTGAGTGGTCTACAGCAGCAGCAGCAGTAGCCCGACAAGCTGCCCTTCACAACCAACTCGTATCCCTGTCCTCCTCACGTTGTGAAGCGTCTTAATCCGGAGGTGATTCCCTTCTCCTCAGCGCTGACAAGAAAACACATTTGTTTTGTACCTGCACGCTGACGCCCTGCTGCACTGCGCTGGCCAGCCGCACCCCCATGGTCTTACCTGGCACAGCAATTAAAATGATTTTTGGCGCGAAGCGCGCAACGTTTTGCCTCTGAGTAGGGCGCTTTTATGGCTCTATTCTTTCGACGATTGGGGTGGCAAAATCAACAGTTGGGCTGCCCGACCTTGTCGAAGGGCATAGGACTTGCTGTGGGCATCTCTCTGGGTTCATTTCGGGGCGTTTTAGATACAATTTCGAAGAGTATTCACGCTTGCCTGGCAAGAGACTTGTTGAGGTTGTTATTTTTCTTCGCGTTGTAAATCACCCCCCCGGTCTCTGATCAGTACCATCTACCATCCATACCAGTTCCACATGACGCAGACGCCTTCCGTGGTCACAAGTCAACTGCCCAAAAAGGGTGCACAATTCTCAATCACCGAAAACAGAAAAACAAGGGGTCCCTGAAATCACAAAAAAAAACCCAGCGAAAATGAAAGAGGACACAAAAAAGCGTGAAGAAATAAAAACACACGCCAGGCAAACACTAGTTAAGCAAACACTAGTTAAGTCGGCCATCGCTGGTCACCAAACGGGGATAAAGGAGATATACCAATAAACGCATGGTCCAAAGCTCATCTCTTCCGCTCGGCACGCGATGCCAAAAAGAAATCAAAGATCATCAGTAATTAAGACAGACATAACATCGGGTAGCTGGTACGAAGGGGGTTCAACAAAAAATTGAAGTATTCCTGCCACCTCCATCACATCCAACCCCCCCCCACATTTTCGCAAAACGTTCTGTCATACTCGTCCTGCTCGCTCCCCAGCTGCAGTCGTGTCCTCGAAACGGGTATACATACGCATGATCCCCTTTGTCAAATCCCCCCACCCGTCGGTTGTCGGTTTGGTCTATCGGCATCATTGCCGTTAAAGGATGTCCAAAAAATAGCAACTGTTGTGCTCTGCTACTTCGCTGATTCACACTCGCAACCCCCGCTAGATTTCCTTACTGCATTTCGCTGCGACGGTTTCACAGTCACATGGTGCAAGCTCTGGCACGGTACATTTTTTGGGCTCCCTTTCCGACCAAAACTGTTGTGAGTGAGTAGTGCTTCGCGGGGGTGCCAACATTTCCACTTCTCGCTGATGGCCCGTGAGCCCCAGAACCACGAACGAATGGTGGAGTGGAGGGCAGCTGCTCCGGCAACTGAAATCCCTCCGAAGCCTCCAGAACCCAAGGTCAAGCAAGACCACCAGAAAGGCCTCCGACGGCGCCTCCTGATGGGGGCGTCTTGACCCTGGAAAGGTTGTGACGTGATTCTCGTGTTCACGTGCTCGTGGTGCCTGGCAACGTCACCGGTACATTCATGGGCATGGAAGGCACGTATGACCATAAAAGCAAGAGAAATACCTCGAGAGGGACTACTTCGGGACACCCACTTCGCAAGCTGGTCATGGTGATCACACATTCAACAAGAAGGGGGTGGCACTCACGTTTTCAGTGTGCTGCCCCTGGAGTCTGGCCGTCTCCGGGAAGATGGGAATCACTTTGCTCTTGCTCTCCTCCACGAGCGACACCGCCTTGCTCCATTCCAATGCAAAGCCGTCCAAGTCTAGCGAATACTCCCTCCCCGCTGGACCGAAAACCTCAACCACAATCACCGAAGTTCGATTTTTCAGCGGCACTGCTCACCGGCATGTGCGGCACCTGCCCTTCAATTTTTCCTAGGGTGGCGGCCGACCCCGTTGGCTCGAGGACCGGAACCACCTCTCCCGCAGAGAGGGGGTGGTGCCGCTCTCCGCCCCACCCAACATCTCCTCGACCGAGTGCGTTGCCCATCCACTCATGTTTGGTGGGTAAAAGCTCAGGACAAACCTACCCCACCCCTCCGTGTCACCGTGCGCTAGTTGGCAGCCATTGGCATCCGCCTTGCCGTAGAGCTTGGAAGTCATTCCTGTGGTGAAAATAATGTGGCGGTACGGGATAGGCTTTGTGTTGGTGGTGCAAAAGCCTTAAGTCATCGGGGAGAGTACTTGAAACACAACCTTGATCGGCTACGGCCACTACCTGCAGAGGTGTGGAACCGGCGCACGGCAAGAGTATTTGGACAGCCTCGAGCATCAGTTGGTCGCAGAGCGGCAGAAGAACCGACAGCAGAAACGGCAGCCACTAGGGAACAAATATAGACGCGTACAGTGCCGTGCGAAAGGAGCGGGTCCGACGCGAGAGATGGTGGAGCCAAGAGAGATCCAAGGCTGCCACACTCTGTTGGCAAGGAGGGCGCAAGAAGTGGAGCCGTTTGGAGGCAACTTCGTTACGCCTCCCGAGCCCTTTCATTCCGGGAGCTAGACAGCGTTCAACGGCTCGGCGCGGTGTCCGTGGCATGCTCGGCCGGTGCGCGTACGGCTTTCAAAGATTGTGCCGTGGTGCTACCCTGGTAGTTGATGTTATGCTGCAGCTGCCGTATATGATATGTTGCGGATGCTACTATTTACTACATGGCCACACATTTTTGGCCGCCGAACATGATGTGTACTGTATGCATCTCTGGAGGCGTGCTTGCAACTGCTGCTCCATGGGTCACGTACATTTTGACGCTCGATTCCTAAACAATAAATCGTGTATCGGTATTTCGCAACAATGGAAACTAAAAGGCAGAGGACTGTCGAGGACCAAACAAGAAACCGTGTCTCTCATGTATCTAAACACTCATCTCCATCACGGAGAAACCGTGCTTCGCATCGTCTCAAAGGGGGTGTGGAATTTGGCGCCATGTACTGCGCACGATGTACGACACCGAAAATTGTGCATGAACAACGATATTTGCCTCTACGAAAATACAGCGCCGGGTGCATGTACAGCAGATTGTAGTGCACAGCAGAGACAGCGAAACAAGCGTTGGACGGTCAACATACATGTAATTGAGGACAGCAGCAAGACGGCCTTGGTATATTTGTTGAAGTACAGGCAAGGTGGTTCACAAGGCAGAGATGCGTGTACAGCAGAAGTCTACAGCAGTATACCAGTCTACAGAAGCAGCAGCAGTACAAGTACGGCAGTAGCCGAAGATACTGCTGTACATATACGATGATAATGAACAATTTTCTTTGCAAGAAAGAAACAGCAGCAGCAGCAGTATCTATGGGTACAAGAAGGCAGTACCAGCAACCACGGGGACAGTCAGTACGGCTAACAAGCCAGTACCAGGAAGGCAACCTTGGCTGCGTCTACAGCAGTACGTAGCAGAGGATATCTCACGTCGGGCACCGCCGCTGCTGCAGGCCCCTGTTGATGGCCGGCCACGTCACCACCATCCTCCTCCAGACGTAGCTGGGTGTTGCAAGGACGCGCTCCACCATCGGTCGCAGACGCCTGACCACGCTTGTCTGTTGACCCTTTCTTCGGCCACTCGCCGCTGATTGTTGGTGGCGCTCTCCGGTCGGATGCGAGCGACCCCGCCCAAGTTGTGCTCTCGATCGGTCTACTCCCCTTCCCACGGACCGACGCGCCCGCCGCCTACGCTTGTATCTGATCTCCCATCGCCGTGTACCACACCACAGGCACCCTCTCTGCTTGTTGTATGCACTGGTCTCCTGGTTGCCCTTTCTTGGCTCTGTAGCACTTTTGTGGAGCGGAGTTCAAGTCAAGCAGCCGAGAGCCGAGAGGTTCCAGGGCGTCGCCGCCCGCGCCCCTTCCACTCTTCCACTGCGGTTGCGAACCAATCTGCCCCCCCAATTCCACTCCTCATTGGCTTAGCCTTATGGCCCACACGGAGGCCGTATTTTTGGGTTCTCGATGCAAAATACAGGTCTCTGATTGGTTTAGCCTTATGCGCGCCAGGTAAGACCATGGGGGTGTGGCTGGCTGCGCTGGCGCCGCTGTTGCTACCTAGCTGTAGGTCTGTACGTGCGGGTGGCGGGAGATCTTGGAGATTCTGTTCAGAAAGTACAAATCGGAAGGGATGTGAAGGAAGATCCATATATTCATGTACCTGGGTGCATGTGGTCAGGAGCGGCAGAAGCAAATATACAGCAGTCGAAAAGGGTACTGTGGGAGATGACTAGCCACCGGGAGAGGTGCGGTGTTGACAAGGGTTCGACAGCTAAAAAACATTAAATGGCCGATGAGAGCAGTAGACTCTTCACTCTCGAATACTCGATGGCACGGGAGCATCTCCTTTTTTTGTATGAACATGCGGTGGAATATGTGTATCATGTCATCTCTGGATACCGCCGGTGGCGCGTGCCCTTGCCGTACCAGTGAACGGTGGCGTGTGCCTCTGCTACTCGGATTGTTTTTCGATAATGCCCGACCTGGCTCTGACTGGCTCTCCGGCTACGCCTATGCCCCACCCACCCACACCTAACCACGACACACAGGAGTTGTATCCCCTGACCGCCCGGCATTCATTCGTGGACTGGGCGTCGTCGCGTTGAGGAGTGCAACCATGACAGTGAGATCCGCTGCCCTTGTTGCTGCGGCGGCAGTGGCAGGAGGATTCGTTGCCGCCCAAAGCAACACAACGGCGACAAGCTCGACAGGGACGACCTTTGCAGCCATCGCCGGGTACACCCCAGGTACGTGTGGCGTTTGCCTGTAGTAGTAGCGGTTCCAAATGACAGCCAGCAAGTGCAAGGATATCAATGCCAGTAGGGCCCGTACATGGATGACGTCGCCCGGGATCCGTGCCCCGCAATAAACAGTAGTTGAACTGGAGTTTTATGCGCATGCATGCATTGCCTCACGTGCCTCTTCCTCCCTTCCTTGGGTTTGTTTCTTTTGTTGCAGTATCGGACGTTGTCGAGCACTCCGAGCTGGACTTGGATGTTGCCGAAATCGAAGCGGGCGCCGATCTGCTGTCGGAAGCTGGCTTCGCCACTGCGTACACGGCGTACTCCGTGGGTGGAAACAGGTGACACGAGCGGCCGTTTTGACGAAACAACATGTGGTTTTGGATTGTCTTCTCAACTTTCTTTCGATCCTGCCTCTACTGCCGCTCGCTGCTGCTCTGCTGTTGCATGGATCTGCTGTGCCCTTGAAAAAACACCCACGACCTCGGGACTGACTTTGGCCACTGCTGTCCTTTCCCCTTATTGCTGCCAACAATAACAACGTGTCGCACCACTGTCGCATTGCAGCGAGAAGACGGACTCGACCCGGACTGTCCAGGGTTTCTCGACCGGCGCTCAAGAGAAGCTCACCGGCGAGGTCACCTTCGACATTTGGGAGGCGTTCTGGGGCAGCCCCGATTACGCCGACCAGTACACGTCGGGGGCATGCCTGGGAACTGGCACCTTCGCAGGCGCATCCAACCTCACGCGTTCGGAGTGTTGCCTCAAGGGAGCACAGTGAGTTTCCCTTAATCCGACCCGTCGTCTTTTGCATCCTTGATTATTCTCTGACTCGACTGACTACTGCTGTAAACAACACACAGAGGAATCTTGCCCCCCCCCTAAAAAAAAAAAAAAACAGAAGGAGGAATCTCGCCCTCTCGGCGCATATTACTTCTCATCTTTCACCGTCACTTGCATTTTGCACGTTGTCCCCCCCTCTCATGTATGTTTCTCTGTTGGACAAAGGAGAGAAAGCGGTATGGGTAACCGAAACTGACGAGCCTCAAGCCCTTTTCCAAAAGTATTCGATCGAGTGTTTCAACCTACGGACGGGCAATAGAATATCGCTACTTGTGATGCCCCACTAACTACTCACTTGCACTTCATCAGAAGTTCCACGTGTATTTTCGATTTTCATATTTTTACCATACAAGTTCAACGAACGACACAAACATTAATACCTTGGGTTTCTCAAGGAGTATAAATAATATATGGGTGTGTTCATTCATTTAATTCGTTTTAGGTTTGGGGAGTACATAACACAAGCACAAGAGTGAGTGCTGTTGTCGTCATGACCTGCGTTCTCCGTTCAAGTATCGCTTTGAAGTACCGCTTGGTCGTTGCGTTTATTTTTTTTTTGGTCAAGATGTTCAGACAGCCGTGCCCTCATCGGTTCTGGGCACGTACGTAGTACGTGCCTCGTAGATGCCAAATGCTTACTAACGCGTGCGTTTTGGCCGCCATCTCCCAAGTACACGCCATTTTTTACATGTACACTGTACATTTGATGTACTGCTGAAGCTCACGATTTCATTAGGCGGAGGTTGTTTACCGATTTTTTCAGCTGGGGCAGAAGCTTAAATATGGGTGTGTGTTTGATTTAATTAATTAATTGTTTTTGGGTTTGGGGAGTCCATATCTACCGTATATGACACAAGATAACACACCCCCTTGGCCGATTTTCAAAGCTCGATTTCTCAACAGCAGGAAGAGTCACAGCGCCGAAAACGGCGGCGTTGGAACCGTCTCGTCGAGAGCTGTTCGATAACGTATTGTTTCATTTATGCATCCTCTTCGTTGTGGAGTAATCGAGCTTTGAAAATCGGTCCAGGGTGTGTGTTATCTTGTGTCATATACGGTATATATATGGGTGTGTTCATTTATTCAATTGGTTTTAGGTTTGGGGAGTACATATCTCAATCTTCGGACAGCGACAGCCATATATATATTCCGTCGCCTGTACATTTTACCCCCTTTCATGTATCGTTGTCTTTTTTGGAGAAAGGAAAGAAGGCTTCCGACGAATGGGCAACCGACACTGACGAGCCTCGCGGCGCGCGATTCACTTGCAGTGTTTCACGAGTGTTTCAACTGGCAATTAATATCGCCATCGCCAAAGCCTCGCCCCGCCGCCACTTGCTGCACTTAATCAGAAGTTCGTGTGTGTTTTCCAACAAGTTGAACCAAAGAGATATTATATTCTCTACAGCGTTGGTAAGATTCCTCTACTTCGTAACACTATTTATACCTCTTTTGAATCTATTTTGGGGTTGCTACGTACAAAAGGTAAGAGAGGGTCTAAAATACCTTACCGACCTTCGGCTGATCGGTCAATTGTCCACAAATCTCCGTGCTTGATTTCGCGCGTTCGCCACATTGACGTCCGCCATGTCGTGGTAAAAAGGTTCCTCAGGTTCCACGTGTCCGAACATGCATCTGTTCTTGGTCCGCCACCAGTTTTCGGTGACTTGTAATTGATGTTGGGTGGCGGGTTGAACCCACTCGTTTCTCTTCGGTAAAGATAGTCTGTAGACCGGTACATGAACCTTGTTCTATCGCGACGCAATGATGCTGCGAAACAAAGTGTGGAGAGGGAATCATCCCCTACAGACGATGGGAAGAAAAAACCCCTTAACGACGGGGATCGATCTCCGCTTCATACACAGCAGTGGTTTACGCGGGATGCATGTGTTGACACTGGTATTATAGTCCTTGCATCGAGTAAGGAACAAATCTGGATACTGGGTTGTAGTGCCCTTTTTGTTATGCAGAAGTCTGTTCAATGTACCATACCGCAGTGATGCAAGGTGGTGCCTCATCACACAAACTGCTGTATATGCATCGGTTCGAGTTTTGGAGGACATCCTTTCTTGCGGTTCTCCACTTAGTCGACAGCATACGGTAAACATCAAAGGACACCTCCTGTTGTGTCTCGTGTGCAATTTTGTATGTACATTTGAGATTTCGTCACTTTTTATTATTGGGCGTTTTTTCTCTCGCGGCATCCAAGTATTTTCTCGCAACTCCTTCTCAGGGGCACGCAGGAGGTTCGTTGGTACATCGACGCTCGTGCCCGAGCCTCGGTAGGCCTCCGTGGCGCCTGCGGTTGACGGTCAAAGTGGCGAAAATTGGCTCTTACCGCGGGGCCGCGTTCTTAGTAGCTGAAGTCTGGCGAACCAAAACCCATAAAATACGACAGCAGTAGATTTGAAATATTGAAATATTACTAATATAAATTTTGCCGCTTCCTGTGTTGATTAATGAGTTGATTCCACACCGCTGTGACTTTTCGCGTCATCCCAATGGCGTGTCGTGTTGTGTCGGATTCACACTCGGTTCTCACGGGAATGCTGCGATCATCACAGGACAAGATACGCATATTTAGTGCATAGAAGTCAGATTTGTCGCTGGCAAAGTTGGTGTCCGCTCGGGCTTTCTCCAATCAATGTAGAAAAAAAAAACTGCGTGCGCGATGTTTTGTAACTGTCCTAAAAATAAGACGCAGTCCCTTCTAAGGGCATTGCGCATGTGGTCCTGCGTCGCCCCACGCCCACGTTCCGAAGGGCCAGCTTGCCTTGTAAATTCTAAACTATTATACGTGCTGTATGCCACATCAGAAACGCCGTGGTCGTCTGTTTCAACTTGCTTGCTGAATATGTTGCGGCTGAATGTTTACTCCATCTACCTGACCCTTCCGGGGTTTTTCATTATTTTGTTGTGTATCCTGGTTGTCGTTCTTTGGTCAGAATTATCCCCAAGGAGATCATAAAAATTGCAAGTCATCGGCTGTGTATCAGTTGGGACTCATGCGCATAATGATTGGTAAACGCGGGCACAGGGCGCATAATGATTGGTAAACGCGGGCACAGGTTCTTGATAATATGTGGACCATCGAATCCATGCATGCACTGTTTTTCGTGTTTTTTTTTTTTTTCACTTCAAATCAGCGCTCACAGCACTAGTGCCGTTTACTCCAACCCGTGACCACACAGAAGAGCCCCTCTCTACCCTCCCCTCCTGCGGTACTTTGCCTTCGATTCTTAATGCGAGAAGAGTTCAGCACTCTCTTCCCTCCGTGTACACACGAACTAGCGCCATCTACTAAAGTAGGTCAGGAGCGGAAGCGAGAGAAAAACTCACTTTGCAAGAAAAGCTCGCTTACGCCGGGATTCGAACCCCTTGACCTGACCTCTAGAAGGTTTCGCGGATACCAACTAGACCACCGGGGCGACCGGCAGTTGTTAGGGGTTGGCGAATATTTGGGGGGTTGGGGTATACAAAGCGACCAACTTCGCGCCCCGGTCCCGAACGCCGTACTAAATCCAATATAAAACCATACCACACAATTTCCTACATACGTGAAGGGCTACCGCCGTGTCTGTATAGGGGCGGTATTGTGCATCTTAGTTACCTAAGCTGCGGTCACTCGTCCGCTCTCGCCGCGCCTGTACGGCGTACCACACCTATACTTCTAGATGACGAGCGGGGAAGAACGATCAGCGCACATTCAGGGGGCGCCATTAGGCTAGCCCAGGCTGCTGCGGTGGAAGACTATGGCCGACATTGTTCTCGGGAACGCATGCATGATACCACTCCAGTTACTTAAAAGCTACATGACTGACATTTACCGCGGTTTCCGTCGAGCTTGGGGTTCAACTTTAGGTGTGTGGTGTTGGAGTTTGAACCAGGGCCGCCAGGCAGTGTTCACATGTCAATAATCTCACCGCGACCGATGTGAAAATGAAGTACAGCAGTGCCCTCAATCGAAGTTAGTAGGAGCTTTTTGTCCTAGCAAACCCAGCGGAGGCAACGGTTATGAGACGCTTTCCCCTTCCTCTTGCCTTTTTTTTCCCTGCGCTTGCGCCTCTTGTATCCGTCTGATTTGCAGGTACCAAAACATATGGATGTACGTGACGCACGAGCTATACGACGCCGTCGGAGACTGCGAGAACGGAGGTGGGTGTGTGAAGGTGGCGGAGGTCGGCTGACCTACGACCACTTGCGGCTGGTACCTTGATTGTCGTTTGGTCGTCGAATCCGAAGGGCGAATGCATAGCAAGGCCCGGGAGGTCGCAGTCCGAAAGCACCCGCTCTGTGTGGCCTCACAACACAAGCCGTACGTCGCATAGGTTGCCATTAGCCCTGAACCAAACTTCCAAACTCGAGTGCTTCCAGACAAGGCATTCGCCAGAATCCGTCGGAATGCCCTCGACGAGGTTGCCAAGGCCACCATTTGCGGCCGTCACTGCGTCGGTCACCTCATAGTTCACAGTGAGCTTCGAAAGTCAGTCCATGGGGTGGGCGGTACCTCTTACGACCTACGGTAGAGGTGAATGTTTGTGCATCGCTTCAACCCGCATCGATCTGACCAGCGTTCACTGACAAGACTATTTGGCCTTGACCTTGCAAACCTGGTGCGTACATGATACTGCTGTACAGACCTGTCCGCCAACGACGGTGGGCCGCACGCCTGGGACGAAGGCTGGGCCTTCTACGCTGGCTCCCTTGAGGGCACCGACGTCGGGGGCACGGGCGACGGGCAGATGCTCTACGCGCTGGCGGAGAAGAGGTGCGAGAACTTCGGGACATGCACCGGAGACTCGGACGGCAGCGACACGACGGGTGTATCGGCGATTAACTCTGAGCTGCTCACTCTGTGGGAGACTGGCCAGGCGAGCCTGCTCGCCGAGGAGTGCACCGAGGCCTCGGCTGTGATCGACCAGATCTTGCCGCTCATGGCTGTTCCTCTCATCCAGGGTCTGCTGAGGTGTGTGTGGTTGTGGTGTATCTATCGTAGCTGTGCACCTGGGGCTCGTTTACGGCGGCACTACCGTTCCAAAGACGGTAGGGGTGTGATGGCTTGCGTTGGAAACTGACGTAGTTTTCTTGGTTGGGATTGTGACTTGATTCCGCCGAATTTTTGTGTTGGTGGGTCCTGCCACGGTCGACGAAGCCTCGAGCGAGGAATTCCGGATGATGAAGCATTACTTTTCCTACAATCAACGTGCGCTGCTACCGTTGCCTAAGGCTAAGGGACATGTCATCACCGCTCGTTTTCCGACGACCCAGGCATGAGATTTTGTAACTCTGTCGCACCCTCCGACCACTGGCATCTCTTTTTTCAACACGACAGGTACACGTACCTTGCTGACCCCGCTATTGGAACGGGCGGCGACAAAGAGGCCGCCGAGCTCTGGGCCTTCTCCGCCTCGATCTTGCCGTGGATCAGCACCTGCGATGCTGCGGTCGGGACGAAAGTCCGCGACAACACCGAGCTCGGGAGCGCGAGCGCGCCCATGGCGGACGGGTACGCGGCGATCAAGGCGGAGCTGGAGACCGTGTACTCTTGCATGGGCATCACGTGCGCCCAGGTTGGCGGCCTTCTTGACGACACCGGCGCCTACTACGCGGACTTCGAACCATGCGTTGATGCGGACGCATCGACCACCTCTGTGACTTCCGCGACCGGTACCTACGCGAATATCGCGGGATATGAACCAGGTAGGTTTGACGCTACATACAGTCATGAAGTTTGCTGCAAATGGTGTTACCATCTTTCTTCCGTCGGTTGGCGTTCGACGTCGTACACATAGGGATGCTTGGTATCGGTGACGGGCCGTGAGCCTGGCGCACCCATACATGCGCCTTCCTTTACGCTAATCTCACGCTTTCGGATACCATGCTACTCGGCTGCCATTGTTATCTGTGTCGCTATGACGTCAGGATCGGATGTCGTGGAACACTCGGAGCTTGACCTGGACGTTGCCGACATGGAGGCGGGCACCGACTTGGAGTCGGAAGCTGGCCTCACCGCCGCGTACACGGCGTACTCCGAAGGCGGAAACAGGTGACATGGGGGTGCAGATGGGTAAATCCACGAGCGGCAAGCGGCAGCAGAATCGAACGAAACGGGCGTCTGCGATGTCGTTGTATGCCTGACCCTCCCTAGAACGAAAATCGCCAACTTTAACATGTGCACTGGTTTCGACCTCTTACTTTTTTGTTCTGTCGCAATCCTCTTCGTGGCGGCACCGGCATTGCAGCGAGAAGACGGACTCGACCCGGACCCTCCAGGGCTTGTCGACCGACGCTCAAGAAAAGCTGACGGGCGAGGCTACCTTCGACGTTTGGGAGGCGTACTGGGGCAGCCCCGACTACGCCGACCAGTACACGTCGGCGGCATGCCAGGGAACGGGCACCTTCGAAGGCGCTGAGATGGTCACGCGTTCGGAGTGTTGCCTCAAGGGAGCACAGTGAGTTTCCCGAGTCCCGAGTTATGGTTGTCGTCGTGTTTTTGTGCATCGCCTTCTGTTTCATTACGAAGTGTGCTCAGCCTTCTGTGTCATCACGAAGAAAATAACCTTGCCTGTCTTCCTTGTTGCTTCTCGATCCAAGGCTCGGAAGGTTGCCTCAGTAATTTTGTGGGCTGCTTTCCATTGGTCCTTTCGCATGTGTCTGTGGCCCGACCTGCAGGTACCAGAACGTGTGGATGTACGTGACTCACGAGCTATACGACGCCGTCGGAGACTGCGAGAACGGAGGTCGGTGTGTTATGGTGGCGGAGGTCGGTTCTAAAACTGACGACCACCAGGCGTCGTCGGTGTTTTTTCGTCGTTTGTTTCGTGGTACAACCGTATCGAATCGAGAGTTGTCTATTCAGAGAAACCGCTCGTTGTTGCCTCGCGATGTTTTTTTCAGTATGGGCCCGCAGATCACCGGTTCGCCGATGTAGACCTGACCAGCCTCTCCCTGTTGCGGTTTCTGCCATGATGATCTTTGAAATTGTACTGCTGTACAGACCTTTCAGCCAACGACGGTGGGCCTCACGCGTGGGACGAAGGGTGGGCCTTCTACACGGGTTCCCTTGAGGGCACCGCCGTCGGGGGCACGGGCGACGGGCAGATGCTGTACGCCCTGGCGGAGAAGAGGTGTGAGAACTTCGGGACATGCACCGGAGACTCGGACGGCAGCGACACGACGGGTGTATCGGCGATCAACTCTGAGCTTCTGGGTCTGTGGGAGGATGGGAAGGCCAACCTGCTCGCCGAGCAGTGCACCCAAGCCTCGGCCGTGATCGACCAGATCGTGCCGCTTATGGCGGTTCCTCTCATCCAGGGTCTGCTGAGGTGTGTTGTGTGTCTTGTGTTTGTGTGTTCTGTGTCTGATTGGTGTTGTATGGGCAGAAGGTAGTGTGTCGTCGGTTTTGTGGATGTGGCTTCTGACTTGTAGTTCTATAGTTGGAGGTAGCGGTAACTTGGCGAAAAACAATGTTCACGTAGTTGACATCGCCACACACTGTTTCCTTCCTTTCTGTGTCATCCCCGCTGCCGTTTCTGGTTTCTGGCAAACTATTTATGCAGGTACACGTACCTTGCTGACCCCGCTATTGGAACGGGCGGCGACAAGGAGGCCGCCGAGCTCTGGGCCTTCTCTGCCTCTATCCTGCCGTGGATCAGCGCCTGTGATGCCGCGGTTGGGACCACCGTCCGCGACAACACGGAGCTCGGGAGCGCCAGCGCGCCCATGGCAGACGGGTACGCGGCGATCAAGACGCAGCTGGAGACCGTTTACTCTTGCATGGGCATCACTTGCGCCCAGGTTGGCGGTCTTCTGGACGACACCGGCGCCTACTACACGGACTTCGAGCCATGCGATGACAGCACTTCCACGACCGATTCCGCGACTTCTGCGACCGGTACCTACGCGGATATTGCGGGATACACGCCAGGTGAGTTAAAAGCGCGGCTTGTTCGAGTGACACCACCATCTGGTTGTTGTTTAATTCATTTGTCAGTCGGCGGACGGCGGCGGAAACCGTAGGGTGCCACCCAGCATGCGTGACCGGTGACACGTCTGGTACACTCACGGTAATTTCACGTTGGGGAATTAAGCTGTTCCGCTGCCCTTTTTCGGTGTCGCTGTAACTTCAGGATCGGATGTCGTGGAGCACTCGGAGCTTGACCTGGACGTTGCCGACATGGAGGCGGGCACCGACTTGGAGTCGGAAGCCGGCCTCACCGCCGCGTACACGGCGTACTCCGAAGGCGGAAACAGGTGACATGGGGGTGCAGATGGGTAAATCCACGAGCGGCAAGCGGCAGCAGAATCGAACGAAACAGGATTCCGATGATGCCGTTGTTGCCTGACCCTTCTTTGAACGACTACCCTCCAACTTTGCGCATTTGTCGGCTTCTCACCTTCCTTTTTTCCTTCACGTCCCGCCGCCGACATTGCAGCGAGAAGACGGACTCGACCCGGACCCTTCAGGGCTTGTCGACCGACGCTGATGGAAAGCTGACGGGCGAGGCTACCTTCGACGTTTGGGAGGCGTACTGGGGCAGCCCCGACTACGCCGACCAGTACACGTCGGCGGCATGCCAGGGAACGGGCACCTTCGAAGGCGCTGAGATGGTCACGCGTTCGGAGTGTTGCCTCAAGGGAGCACAGTGAGTTTCCCGAGTCCCGAGTTATGGTTGTCGTCGTGTTTTTGTGCATCGCCTTCTGTTTCATTACGAAGTGTGCTCAGCCTTCTGTGTCATCACGAAGAAAATAACCTTGCCTGTCTTCCTTGTTGCTTCTCGATCCAAGGCTCGGAAGGTTGCCTCAGTAATTTTGTGGGCTGCTTTCCATTGGTCCTTTCGCATGTGTCTGTGGCCCGACCTGCAGGTACCAGAACGTGTGGATGTACGTGACTCACGAGCTATACGACGCCGTCGGAGACTGCGAGAACGGAGGTCGGTGTGTTATGGTGGCGGAGGTCGGTTCTAAAACTGACGACCACCAGGCGTCGTCGGTGTTTTTTCGTCGTTTGTTTCGTGGTACAACCGTATCGAATCGAGAGTTGTCTATTCAGAGAAACCGCTCGTTGTTGCCTCGCGATGTTTTTTTCAGTATGGGCCCGCAGATCACCGGTTCGCCGATGTAGACCTGACCAGCCTCTCCCTGTTGCGGTTTCTGCCATGATGATCTTTGAAATTGTACTGCTGTACAGACCTTTCAGCCAACGACGGTGGGCCTCACGCGTGGGACGAAGGGTGGGCCTTCTACACGGGTTCCCTTGAGGGCACCGCCGTCGGGGGCACGGGCGACGGGCAGATGCTGTACGCCCTGGCGGAGAAGAGGTGTGAGAACTTCGGGACATGCACCGGAGACTCGGACGGCAGCGACACGACGGGTGTATCGGCGATCAACTCTGAGCTTCTGGGTCTGTGGGAGGATGGGAAGGCCAACCTGCTCGCCGAGCAGTGCACCCAAGCCTCGGCCGTGATCGACCAGATCGTGCCGCTTATGGCGGTTCCTCTCATCCAGGGTCTGCTGAGGTGTGTTGTGTGTCTTGTGTTTGTGTGTTCTGTGTCTGATTGGTGTTGTATGGGCAGAAGGTAGTGTGTCGTCGGTTTTGTGGATGTGGCTTCTGACTTGTAGTTCTATAGTTGGAGGTAGCGGTAACTTGGCGAAAAACAATGTTCACGTAGTTGACATCGCCACACACTGTTTCCTTCCTTTCTGTGTCATCCCCGCTGCCGTTTCTGGTTTCTGGCAAACTATTTATGCAGGTACACGTACCTTGCTGACCCCGCTATTGGAACGGGCGGCGACAAGGAGGCCGCCGAGCTCTGGGCCTTCTCTGCCTCTATCCTGCCGTGGATCAGCGCCTGTGATGCCGCGGTTGGGACCACCGTCCGCGACAACACGGAGCTCGGGAGCGCCAGCGCGCCCATGGCAGACGGGTACGCGGCGATCAAGACGCAGCTGGAGACCGTTTACTCTTGCATGGGCATCACTTGCGCCCAGGTTGGCGGTCTTCTGGACGACACCGGCGCCTACTACACGGACTTCGAGCCATGCGATGACAGCACTTCCACGACCGATTCCGCGACTTCTGCGACCGGTACCTACGCGGATATTGCGGGATACACGCCAGGTGAGTTAAAAGCGCGGCTTGTTCGAGTGACACCACCATCTGGTTGTTGTTTAATTCATTTGTCAGTCGGCGGAGGCGGCGGAAACCGTAGGGTGCCACCCAGCATGCGTGACCGGTGACACGTCTGGTACACTCACGGTAATTTCACGTTGGGGAATTAAGCTGTTCCGCTGCCCTTTTTTGGTGTCGCTGTAACTTCAGGATCGGATGTCGTGGAGCACTCGGAGCTTGACCTGGACGTTGCCGACATGGAGGCGGGCACCGACTTGGAGTCGGAAGCCGGCCTCACCGCCGCGTACACGGCGTACTCCGAAGGCGGAAACAGGTGACATGGGGGTGCAGATGGGTAAAACCACGAGCGGCAAGCGGCAGCAGAATCGAACGAAACGGGATTCCGATGATGCCGTTGTTGCCTGACCCTTCTTTGAACGACTACCCTCCAACTTTGCGCATTTGTCGGCTTCTCACCTTCCTTTTTTCCTTCACGTCCCGCCGCCGACATTGCAGCGAGAAGACGGACTCGACCCGGACCCTTCAGGGCTTGTCGACCGACGCTGATGGAAAGCTGACGGGCGAGGCTACCTTCGACGTTTGGGAGGCGTACTGGGGCAGCCCCGACTACGCCGACCAGTACACGTCGGCGGCATGCCAGGGAACGGGCACCTTCGAAGGCGCTGAGATGGTCACGCGTTCGGAGTGTTGCCTCAAGGGAGCACAGTGAGTTTCCCGAGTCCCGAGTGTACTGCTTTCTTTTCCTGTGTTGTCATGAAGATGGCCCTGTCAAGCGAGTCGCTGCTCGAACACCGTAGCAAACAGTTCGATGTCTGTCTCTTGAACGTTGCTAACCTTCTGTCTGTGGCCCGACTTGCAGGTACCAAAACGTGTGGATGTACGTGACTCACGAGCTATACGACGCCGTCGTAGACTGCGAGAACGGAGGTCGGTGTGTGTCGGTGTTGCCCATGTCGTGTGATGTCGTTCAACTAGGCGTGGCTGCTTGTTACCATTGCCTTCTTGGTTGGTTTGGATGCGGAATCGAGAGGTGTCAGCCCTGAAAGCTAAAAAGGTGCTCGTACGGCCTCACGAGAGTTGGGCGTGTGTTCACATCTGTCCGACCCGTTGGCCGACAACGATCTGACCTACATCCCTCTGTCTGTTCCATATTCTGCCTTGGCCATAAAACTGTGGTGCATGATACTGCTGTACAGACCTGTCCGCCAACGACGGTGGGCCGCACGCCTGGGACGAAGGCTGGGCCTTCTATGCCGGTTCCCTTGAGGGCACCGACGCCGGGGGCTCGGGCGACGGGCAGATGATCTACGCGCTGGCGGAGAAGAGGTGCGAGAACTTCGGGACGTGCTCGGGAGACACGGACGGCAGCGACGCGACGGGTGTATCGGCGATTAACTCTGAGCTGCTCACTCTGTGGGAGGTTGGAAAGGCCAACCTGCTCGCCGAGGAGTGTACCGAGGCCTCGGCTGTGATCGACCAGATCGTACCGCTCATGGCGGTTCCTCTTATCCAGGGTCTGCTGAGGTGCGTGGATAATATACCGGAACGGGTTCTTGCGGTGTGTCATACTTGCAAGACGATTCGTGAGTGTACACCGTGTTGGATTGCTCGCAGGGTTGTGTTACCACCTGCATCAAAGAATCAAGGAAATCGACTGTACGGTAGCGTTGAGAACTTTACTGGAGTACAAGCAATGGATATCCGTACCCGCTCAGGATGAAGATAAGAGCACGTTTCAATCGAGCATGTGAACGTCCTTCAGGACAGTACTGAGTTCCTGAATATGGACCACGCTTACGGTGGCTAGCCATTCTGGTAGCTTCCGACGAACACGAAACAGTTCACCAAACATACACGTAATGGTTTGGCGTTCCTTCGTGACCCCCTCTCCGGCTCTCGTAAATGAATGTTTCAGGTACACGTACCTTGCTGACCCCGCTATTGGAACGGGCGGCGACAAGGAGGCCGCCGAGCTCTGGGCCTTCTCTGCCTCTATCCTGCCGTGGATCAGCGCCTGCGATGCCGCGGTTGGGACTGCTGTCCGCGACAACACGGAGCTCGGTAGCGCCAGCGCGCCCATGGCGGACGGGTACGCGGCGATCAAGACGCAGCTGGAGACCGTTTACTCTTGCATGGGCATCACGTGTGCGCAGGTTGGCGGTCTTCTGGACGACACCGGTGCCTACTACACGGACTTCGAGCCATGCGATGACGGGAGTTTGGCAAGTATCGACAGGTCGAGCGACAGCGGTCTTGACGATGGTGGTATCGCCGGTGTAACGATCGGCGTCATCGCAGCTGCTGCCATCGGCGTTGCGGCGGTTGTGCTCTTCAAAAAGAGACGGAAGGGCGCGGCGACAGTCAACGAGAACTTGGGCAACTTTTAAGCTCACTTAGCTCGGGTGGAACTGCAGTTTAACAGATGTAACAAATTCATACATACAAGACTCCCCTTCGGGAGTTAAGTGGTGTGTGGCGACGCAAGAGGACATGGTCGATGTCATCGCGGTCGTATCGGCGCATCATTTTGCATCATGTGCGTTTTTCTTTTTTTTCGTTCGCAGTGATGTCTTTGCTGCGGGTCCTCTACTGCTGTTATCCTCTGTGTTCATTTTGTTGTCCTTGGGCGTGGGTTGTAATGTACCGACACCCCACCGTACCCCTGAGAAGGAAGCGTGAACAAGGACTCGCTTCCGCCAGCGAAAGATGTCTCGGAGTACGCTCGAAGCACGAATACAGTCGAACTGATACAGACATACATCCGTTTCTCCTGCTTCTTATCGGTTTAACACCATTGGCTGTTGCGCAGGGGCGTGTTTATCAATCAATTTTGCTGGACAAGTACTCTATCGTTGTTGCATTCTTTGTGAAGAGGGTGATGGGGGGGGGTGATACCCGAATGATGCTTTAGAAAGCGGTTGGAAGTTTCATTTGTTAATGACGACCTGTTTCACCTCAAAATGCGTGTAGGCTGTGTGTTGACACAGGGGCGGACGAAGGTTACGCCGTTGCCTCCAACGTACAAGGAGGTAGAAGTTTATGGTGGAGCTTCATCCAAGCCAGGGAGAGAAGAACCGTAACTAGCTGAGTTCATGGAGTATGTTTCAACCACTTGCATCCTAAATCAGAGCGCTCTTTTATCTTGCCGGTTGATTCTCCAATCAAATGCAGTGGTGGCGATCAACGAGAAAATTGTATACGTTTCTGACCACAGGCTAGGGTCAATTTTGTAGGCCACCAGCAGCCGCATGTAGGTTTTGTAATGGTTTTGGCGTGCGTGGGGTTTTATGTTGGTCTGTATTGGGCATCTCTCATGCGTTCCTAGATTCCGAGATGTCGATGTTTGTTTGCAGACTGATTGATTATTACGTATGTCGATGCATGTTAGCTTCCGGAGTGATGGTCGTAAAAAAGAATGACGTTCACCAGCCTCAAGGTCCCACAAGAGGTGGCAATGCAGACAAACCTGTGGGTTATTTTTCATGGACGGACGTGTTTCGTAAGCAAGCGTGATTTCGTTGGTTGGGTCGTTCTTGGTTCCGACCAGGGGTAAGTTTTTTCGAGGGCATTAAGCGAGTTACTTTGTACCAAAGACACAGCATGGGGGCCGAGGTACATAATAATAAGGAGAGGCTCGGTCGTGTATGAGAGGTAAATTAGTAAGCAAGCCGCCAGGGCAGGTAGCGAAGGCATACTGCAAGCCTGCACGGAGGAACACCACAGCAGGTAGCTACATAACAAGCAGCCTGTTTTTGCCGAGTTTCTCCCGTTGAGCGAACGAAGCTGCTTGTTGTAAGGTCACGCTTTGGCAACAAGCCAGTCATTGTATGGGGTATGTATGTAAGAACGAGAGGAGAGCCAGCAGGCGAATATGGAACACCTAGCTAGCTGGAAGAAGACTTCAATACTTACTTCAATTAATACCACGTAGTCTAGTCTTCTCTGTGAAAAAAAATACGCTTGAAAAAACGAAGGTTGGAAGGAAAACATATTGGAGTTAGTTGTGGGAGCAAGGTGGCAGGTGGCTTCACCTCCCGCCGTGGAAGAGGTGATACCTTACGTACATAATTAGCAGCAGTTGCACGTCCCACGTAAATGAATCGTCATATGCGAAGGACTGAACCGTCGCGAAATGCCAACAACGTGCTGGCGTGTGAAAAATGGATCGATCGATCGATGTGACTGATGTCATGCGCAAACACACGTACGCGCGTTCGTTGATCATCCGTCCGTCCGTCCGTTTATGTATCCAGCAGCCATCCAACCCAACCAGACACTAAAAAAAAAACAAAGCCATGCAGCCATGCACACCACTGCTGTAAGTATTCGAGAAATCATCAACGACGGGTGGTGGATGGATTGGAGCAATGACTTCAAGTATGTTGCGGATTTTCAAGCGGGGCACACAGAACGGTGCTCTCTTTATTATGGACCCATGTTTGTTTATTCTGAAGCTTTATTCCCAAGCTCTAGCTTGGGTCTCAGTCGATCAAAAGTCTTTTTTTTCCGTCTGTGGAGTTTTCAGTAGCATAGCGGACCCCTTGCCCGACCGGGTCGAAAAGGCCGATCTCAGCCCACACTGCGAACCTCCGAGAACTACCAGCAGTTCTGGGTAGCTGAGACGATTTCAAGACCTCTCACAGTCGTTTGAGCATCTATCGCTTGCTGTGGGGCGATAACCAGTTTCTCCGTCGACAAGAAGATCTGCGTTACATCGTCACATCGGAACGACCAGATTGGTTGACTTGTCGTTGAGGGTCCTCTTTTTATAGATCTTTTTGTATAAGAGTCGTCTTCATTTTTTTCGCCGCCCGCGCCAACCCTTCTTTTTACAGATCTTTTTATATAGAGTCGTCTTCTTTTTTTCGCCGCCCGCCCCAAGCCTTGCTTGCTTCTCTCGTGTCCCGCGCCAAGCCTTGCTTGCTGGCTACGCTTCTCTCGAGATGCTGACCGACCTCAGCACACAGCTGGACATTCTGTGTACATACAGCAGGAGCTGCTTTTGTTCTGTTGTTGCAACTTTCTGCATGGATGGCTCTTTTGTGGTGCGAAAATTAGCATTTATTGTTGTTGTTGATGTGCGGACGAGAGGACGAGAGTGGTAGGCAAAAGCAGTACGTACCTGCAAATCTCCGGCAACTACCAGCAGTTCTGGGTAGCTGAGACGATTTCAAGACCTCTCACAGTCGTTTGAGCAGCTATCGCTCGCTGTGGGGCGATAACCAGTGATTTTGTGATTTTCTTCCTTAGTCTATAGTGACCGTTGTACACATGCGGTGGCTGCTGTTATGCTCGGAAGATGCTGCAAAGGTCATAAGGTTATCGTCTCTGTCGCTTGGGCTGCACGCCGTGCTCGCGTAGGAGATGCGCATTCCTCATTTTTTCTCTGTGCCGATATCCATGAAGAAAAGCAACGGCAGCACGGTTGAAGATACAGACAACAGACGGTCCGCCATACCCTTTTTTTTTTCTTCTCTTACATGCATGGATGGGTGGTAAAGCATCGCAAGCGTGTTGCTGCCTTACTTACCTTTAGTGTGCTGCGTAGTCGTAATTTGAGCGATAAGGGGTAGATGGCAGGACAACAATCTTATTTGCGTAGTGAGGTTTGACAACTGGTCGTTCGTGGAACGGTGCGCGTCTATCGCGACGGCAAGCGTATTGAGAAAATAGTTCGTCCGTGGTGCTTCTCGTCATCATTTTCTATTTCGTTGTCACTTCATACTTCATACCACAAGTGATGAAAGAGAGTCTCCACAGTTAGTTCGGAAACGGCGACTATATTTGGTTTGTTGCGTTTGTTGTTGCTGAGCACACATCGGATGTCGTCGTTCGTTACAGCCTGCGGTGGGCCACAGGGACGAGAGTGAGTGTCTTCGGTTAGGGTCTCGAGAGTTAATTAATGCCTTCTCTACGCTTTCTTCTGTTGATCTACGTAGTAGTAGCACCTGTCTCTCCTTCTCGCCTATTATCGCCGTTGGGGTCCCAACAACATCGAACGTCAACCGCAATCGTTTTTCTTCTTGCTGAGTAAGAGGCTATTTGTGTAGTACGTACCCGGCTGCTGTATGTGAGGCGATGGGCGCTGCCTCTTTACTTGAAGCAACGGGGGCATGGCCCCTATAATGTTTGCTGCATGCTGTGCTATGTGACAGCTTCCAGCGGTTCAGAGCGGCGACGGTGGTTTTCGTATGCTCTCTTTTGCCACCTCCCTGAAGCCTGTCGCGTCTGGCTCACTTGTCTTTGTCGTCCCTTCTTCTTTTTCTTTTTTTTCTTAACATAGTCTATATTTTATTTTTCCGCTTGCTTTTTGGGGTCCGCCGGTCATCCGCCCACCACCCATTAGTTCAGTTTTAAATGTTGTTGTTGTTGTTGTTGTTGTTGTCTTCGCATTAAAAACCGTTCAGATCTCTCTCTACCCAGTACCTTCATATGTGCGTACTGATCCAACACTTGACGCGGTCGATTCCCGTGGTCACAGGCTAACTTACCCTAAAGAGGTACGCTAAAACAAACTGGCCCCGAAAGGTCCGCAAGTCAATAAAAATCAACGACAGATATTCTTTGGAACGGGGTGTTTACTTGCCATCTCTATGCAAGTTTCACAATTAATTTTGAAGCTTTTCTGAAGCTAGTTGAAACAGTAGTGTCATCGTTCGATATCCGTTCGGTGAGGAATCAATCGCAAATCATGACCCGTCCCCGAGTTGTAGCAGCTTCCGCCTCCTGGGGCCGGCAAGAGTCGGCCTTCACTGCTGTACCTTGTCTGTTTCGCCATGGGAATGGCCGGTTCAAAGCGAAAGAGGGTCCTGCGTGCTGCGCGCCACCACCTTTTTTTTTTTGCGTTTGTTTGTTGTTGTGATTTTCTTCCTGAGTGACCGTTGTTGTACACAACATGCGGCTGCTGCTGTACACATACTTGCGGTTGCTGCAGTATATGCTCGGAATGTGCTGAAAAGAAAGGTCGTAAGGTTATCGTCTCTGTTTTTTTGGGCTGCACGCGTTGCTCGCGTAGGCGATGCGCGTCTCCTACTTTTTTCCAGTGTCGTTGTCGGCAGCACAGTCAGTTGAAGAGACAAACAACAACAGACGGTCCGCCTTGTTTTGTTTTGCTGCATGCATGGTTGGTATGCATCGGCACGCGTGTTGCTTCCTTGCCTTGAGTCTGCTGCGTAGTCGTAATTTGAGCGATAGGTAAGCTAGATGGCAGCACAATCTTAGATACTACGTAGTGAGGTATGATAACCAACAGCTCGTTCGTGCAGCGGTGCGCATCTATGGCGGACGGCAAGCGTATTGCGATAATAGTTCGTCCGTGGTGCTATGTAGTCGTGCTCTTTTTAGTTCTCACTTCCTACAACAAGATAGTAGTCCACAGCTCGCACACGGCGACTGACTATATTTGTTTGTTGTTGTGCTTGTTTGCTGTTGCTGAGCCGACATCGGATATCGCCGTTCGATACACAACGTGACATCATGTCTGACAGCCTGCGGCGGGCCAGAGGGACGAGAGTGAGTGTCTTCTCGACAGAGTCAATGCCTTCTCTTCTCGAGAGAGTCAATGCCTTCTCTTCTCGAGAGAGTCAATGCCTTGTCTTCTCTCCGCTCTCGTATTTTTGTCTACCTCTCTTTCTCTCTCTCTCGCCTTTCGCCGGTAGGGTCCCAACAACATCGAACGTCAACCAACCGCAGTCGTTTCGCTTTTTGCTGAGTAAGAGGCTACCCGTGCATCCGGCTGCTGCATGTGAAGCGATGGGCGTTATGCCAAGCAATGGACTTGGGCCCTACCTAATATTTGCTCCATATGTAGTGCTATGTGAGAGTTTCCAGCGGTCCGGAGCGAGCGGCGACGGTGCTTTTCTTCTATGCGCTCTTTTGCCTCCTCCCTGAAGCCTGTCGCGTCTGACTCGTTTGTTCTCGCTTCTTTCTTTCTTTTGTTTTTCATGCTTTTGTTTTTTGGGGTCCCCCGGTTCCTGTGTGCTCATCGGGCATCTTCTTGGTGTCTACCTTGATTGTTACCCGCTGCAAAAATCGAAAGCTTCAGACAGGCAACGCGACGATACTCGTCGAGATGCCATACACAATGAATTCATTGCTAATCTGTCTCAGACTCTTTTCTATGATGGAGATGGATTCGTTGTGTCATATTAAGAAGAATAAACATAAAAAAACATCCTGTCGTTACTCTATCGATACCTCACACCCACCCCTACTCACGCCGACGCAGACACAGACAGGCAGACTCAGCTCTTTCGCCTGTGCTGTATCTGTTGTTCGTGCGTGCTGAAAAATGGTACATACAGCAGCAGCTTACAGCAGCAGGAGCTGCTTTTTGCTTGTTTGTACAGCTTTTCCTGCAGGGATGGCTCTTGTTGTGCGGCAAGTTGCATTGTTTGTTGTTGATGCGGACGAGAGGACGAGAGTGAGTGGTAGGCAAAAGCAGTACGTACCGTGTTAAAGGGACAGACAGAGTGCCTACCGTGTGTATGTAGACGTTGCATTTCGTGATTCCCGAGGATCGGATGTATGTGTTGTTTTTTTATTGCGTACCCGCGTCCATCACGACCATTATTGCGTAGTGTGTCGGCTAATTAAGGTCCTTCCCGTTCGTGGTGTCAGCACACGCGCAACACGCGACTAAAATAAAAATATAAAGCTTGGGACTAGCAACGCCGACGATATTCGTCGGCTTGCTTTCAACAATTA